AAATGGTTATGGTAAGAAATTGTGTGTGAGCGTGTTTTTAATTTTTAGATTTTTTTTTTTTCCCCACATAGGCTAGTTGTTTCTTTCTGGACAAGGAAGTGGACTTATGGATTGTTAGCTATTAATTGCTGATTGCTCTGGCCATTGGTTCACTTTATAGATCTTTATTGAAGGTAAAATCATGACTGCTTAAGTATTTTTCCCCACCTGTTTCCTTTAGTGGTAAGCCAGCGATACTTGAAAAACTTTACTGTAATACTCAATATTTTGAATGTCTTAGATTTCAGTCTTCCTTCTCTCATTTTTTGGATAACATACATCCAGTAAGCCTTCATCAATTTGGCTTCACCGAGACTCTGTTTATGGTAGTTCACGTCACAGCTTCACAGCGGGCCTGTTACCACCAACCCCGCCAAAGACTAGAACTCAGATTTGCTGATCCTGGCCAAGTGCGCTTCCCTCAAAAGAAGTAAAATAGGCAGGAAGTCAAATGTTAAGAGAAAATACTCATCTGAAGGATTGGAATAAATAGAATCTTAGTAGCAAAACTCAGAAACTTCTAGTAGTTTGGGGTGATAGAAATGAAAGTGGCAGTTGAATAAGTAGGGTCTACCCCTATGGAGTGTCGAGGCATTTAAAGATTGGAGTGACTGGCCTTTTCCAGGTTCCATCAGCGCTTGTGAGGAAGAATGTTCCTCACAAGAGTGAGGAAGTAAAAGTAGTCAGGATGCAATATAACATTGTATTTAAACCCTTTGGAATTGGGCAAATTTGGCTTTGACTCCTCCTTCTGCCTCTTGATCATTGTATGGTCCCAGGTAAATCACTTGATTTCTCTAAACCTTAAAATTTTCCATTCACATAATAAAGAGCTTAGTAGTATTTAACTCCCAAGAATTAGAGAAAGAATTAAATGACATAGGGCACATAATATTCTTGGTACAGACTCTGGGACATAGTTCACATTCTGCAAATGTAAGTTACCATTGCTGTTCCTAGGATTGATAGTCTAATATAATTGAAGATATGATTATTTTAATTCAAGAATTAAGGAGATAATCAATATGAGGAAATGAGTAGTTTTCAAAGTGAGCTTTAGGGGTTGATTTTAAAACAGAGCACTCTCTTACCCCTCAATGGGTACAGTATACTTTGTTATACTATCCCTGATGGAACAATACACCATCAAAAGTCACCTTCATAAATACAGTTCGTGAGCAGTCCTGTCCTTCCCCCTCCCAGTTTAGGGAATTTACTGTGTGATATCTGCTGTCTCGTCAGTATCGCTTTCCAAGTTACATTATCTTTACTGTCTGTCATCATGTCTTTTTCAATTTAGTAATTCCTGATTGTTAGTTGGTTTTCAACTAAACCTTTTGGGCAGTTTTATTTCATTTGTAGTGTCTCATTAATTTACACAGGTTTCTAGATTCTCTCAGCAGCTAATGGTGGCACTTTTACTAAATGCTGTCATCCTACCCTTGTTTAGAATAGTCGTCTTTCCATTGCAGTAACCTGTCAACTATAAAAATTGATTTTAAGGTAAAGAGTTGGTGGTTTAATTGAAAAATAGATGGCACGAAGCAGTTCTTAATGTAGGAATGAAACATGCATTTTTATTTATGGTATTTTCCAGGGACCATTGTGTGATCCCTGTCTGGCATGCTAGTCTAAAATAAAACTGTAGATTAGGTATTGTGTCTTTCTTTGGGTGTTGTTTACCCCGTTCTTTGTGATTTAAAACAGCTCTGCCCCTTCCTATGTAATAACATGTTTTCTAGATTTTTTTCTGACTTCTTTTATAAAATCCCTTCAGTTGGCACTGTTTTACTTGTCTAAAAAATTCCTTACTGAGAAGTGCTTTTAAAATATTTTCAGAAGACCACTTGGAAATCATAAATATTCTGACCAAAGTTAAACATCTTGTGGTGATAGTGATTTTGAATGCCACTCACATTGCTAATAAATGAACACGGTGTAGAAATACCAACCAAGTTGAAGTGGCAGAGACACTGAGAGACTAGAGACTGCCTTCTGGTTTAAGGGCAGTTGGCTGTGATAAAATATAGCAGGAGGAGAAAGAATTACCATTTCTTCCCATATCTCCAGTTTCCTCCAATGCAGAGGAGGGTTTTCCACGTCTCCTTACTGCTGTTGCTCTTGTTGATTAAATGGTTACTATCTTTACGATTATAGTTCCCCACCTCATGTCCAGAATGGCCCCCAAATTTTCCATCTTTTCCCCCTTCTCCTTTTAACGTTATTTCTATTTACTTGGTGTAGACTATATATCTCTGTCAGGGACTGGGAAGAAAATAATTGATTAAATTAACTAACCCTTTACCATTCCCAGTATTTGCATTTGCTCAAATGAACCTCCAATAGATAGATTTTCAAATCGTGAAAAATTGGAATGGGCTTTTTTTTTTTTTTTTTCTTGACTCTTTATTATCCTCTGGTCAACTCCCTGAAGTTATTTGTGCTTTTGGTAGCTTCTCTGTTCCTTCTGTATCTCTGAACTCATGGGTTTTCCATAAGTTCTGTGTGCAGGTGTGTTAAGATTTTTTTGTGTGGGAATTGGTGATAATGATCGTTTTGCTTGCACAGCTCTCACTGAGTCTCCCCTCCCCAGTCTTACTCTAACCTGAGCAGGCCTCTCGGACTCAAAAATCTCCAGGTCTCACTTTCTCTGTAACTCATTCCACATGAAGTTAATAAACTCCTAAATAGGAGGGTGAATTAAAAAACACTTCACATACCACACTAAAAGTTTGCTAATCCCTAAAATTAAGAAAATGACTCGAGAGTTCCCTTTTTTGCAGAAGAAACATAATCTATGCCAACCAAATATAATTGCTTTGGACTACTCAGTGGAAATAGATACTAGGAGGCCAATGACAATAAAAATAGTTTAAAGGTATAATCTTTACTTTCTAAATAATCTTTCAACTAATTGCAAAATTATTTCACCAACTTCAAAGTTATTTATCTCCTTCATTCTAAGTGTAACTAGTTTTGCCCCAAAGATGTATAATCCGTGACCATTTCGGTCTCCCTAGTTCTATATGTAGACACAGAACCAGATGTAATTACTATACAGTATAATAGTCCTTTTCATATGAGGTGAGTAAATTGCATAGCTTTAATAGGAACACACCAGTTAAAGTAATACTATATGTTCTGTACTCATCTAAATGTTTGCCAGGTAAAATCAATATTTTGATGAGTTTTCTTTATTCACAAGACCATTTAATAATATATAGAATCCTGCTGGGAGATATGGTATACCTATTGAAATAGCCTCAACACCACCACCACCTGTGATATTTTGAAAACTACTTAAATAACCAAAGACATCACATTGTCTCTGAATCATAGCCACCCTAATATTAGAAAGTAGTGCAAAAGCAAGTGAGCAGACTAGGTCAGTGGGCCCTTCTATACCTGAACTGATATTCTTCACAATTGCATATAAAAGAACCAGATATTCCCAGTAAGAACTAGAATCACATATGTAATTCAGACAGTAGTGAACTTTGAGGGCTATGAATTGTAAAAGTACCCCATCCAATACTGAAATCATAATCAGCTATTTCTGTCCTGTATAGAATTTCTGTGTAGAAAATATTGCCTGATTTCTTAAAAATAAAGGGATTATGGTTTATGTTTGTTCAGTTGAAAAGGTAAGAGGCGCTACAGGTAGAGTCAGCTTCTCTGACTGTCTATCTAGATTGATGTTACCGTCAGTTTGTCAAAAGTCATTCTCCTTGACATGATAAAAGAGACTTTTGACTTAAAATGAATTGGATATTCCTAACTAGAAACTGCAAGGTTAGCAACATAGCAGGGTCAAGTCTATACCAGACCTCTTAGGTTTTATTGTTACTGTGTTCTTTCACTTGCTAGGACTCTGGTTGAAATTTTTTAAATACTTAATTACTGTTTTTAAAACACTCTTGATTATAGGAGTGCTTAATACCATTTAATGTCATTGGATACATGATTAATTGCTTAATACGGGAGCAAGGGGGACAAAACTACAGGGCAGCAGAAAAGTTTTATTTCTACATTCAGCTTAAGTATGACATTTTTAATGCGTTTATTTAACTTTACGTCATATAAAAGTTGTCACTTGTTTTGTTTGGGTACAGATTGGTACATTTCTATATATACTTCATCTATTCTTATTTCTGTGCATGATGTATTATTTACCTCAGTTTTCACAAAGCAGGTTTGTTTGTTTTTAAGCAAGCGGGTTTTAGTTACACAACTTGTCTTTTCTATAAGTGTGTGTGATTCTACTGCTGCCCCTTTTCTAGTTGTGTATGCCACACTTCTCTCGTGGAAACTTTTGAGGAGTATTTTATCGCCTAACCCTACTATACTAAATGCCAGTTCTTATTCTTAGGTGATTATCTATGAGGGTTATTGATGCTACTAGCATGCCATATACATTGTCTAGGAAAAAATTCAATCTCTTTCTTACATCTCATTCTGGAAGACTCTACCCAATGGAATTCAACACAAGCCACACTAAAAGGAGGCCCTGCTTCATGGATTGTCGGAAGTTTTAAGATAACAGAGTCCAGCTATTACTCTTTGTAACATAAAATAAAATTATTTGCCTTTGGACTTATTAAAAAAATTCTCTTCCCCTCAAAAAAGAATCTTATAGCTGACTCTTCTAGAATTTAGAAGACAACCTTTTCCCCATTTGGAGGGGACAGGTATTAGGTTTAGGACTTGTTGAAGCATTGACGTTATCAGCTTTTTTTTAATTATGTGTTAGCTAGAAAACTGAGGGACATTCCTTACCCAGCCATACCAATGTACCACCATAATTTAATAAAAATTCCCAAGTGACAGTGTGTCTGCTGAATGGATTTTCTTACACCATCTGGTGTCATTGTAGTTTTTTTGTTGTTGCTTTCATTTGAATGTGCTGATGATCTTGTTTTTATTCCGTAGCATTGAACAGATGGGTTGATTATTCTTTTCAGATATTAATAAGGCAGCGGAAAGAAGAAATATGAATACGGCTCCATCAAGACCCAGCCCCACACGAAGGTAAAGTACCCTGAAGCAGTGAGTTACCTTGGGAGAGTTGGGCTCTGGGGAGTTAAGCCCAACTCCGTACCTCAAGGGTCTTTTCTTCCCCCCAACAAATCAGAAACGCTCAAGCAAACAATAAGAACATGCACCTTGTGTGAAGGGCCTTGCTGCTTTTTAAAAAACATACATCAGGAGATACAGAGGAAGCTTTGTGTTTTCGGTGGCAAACCAGCAAGTTCAGCTTGCAACAAGAGTTGCAGGCAATTGGAAGAGGATAAACCTCTGTCTGTCCCCAGCTCACGTGTCAATGGGAGCCTCCAGAGAGGAGGAGGGCCCCCGGGGTCCCTGGTGTGTGCCATGCTGCACTGCAGCAGGCAGCAGAGATTCGACTCTTCATTCCAAATGGCTGCCGGTCCAGATGTTAACCCAGGTTTATGGAAAGTGCTGCTTGAGAGATTGCTGCTGTGCCTGTACTGCAATCCCTGTTTGCTCGCATGCTTGGGTTACTGTGAAGGGAAATAAAAAGGGCAAAAACACTCCAACTCTCAGAAGTCTCCCTTTTTCTTAGTTTTCCTGAAAATGAAAGGCATTTCCCCAATATATCCTTCCTTCTAGTATACAGGAGTCCTGATGTCTACTCTGCTGATATGCATTAAATCAGCCCCTTCTCTGGCAGAAGAGCCTTATTATTGTTACCATTTACACCAAAAATGAGTGTATGTATCCAGAATGACCCACCAGAGAGCATGCACACAGGGATGCAGTGTGTGCAGTTCTCTGTGGAATGCAGGCAGATATATTTTATATTTGGTGTCCCTTCGTGGACCCAATGAATAGTATGGATTTTGCCATTGCCCCTAAGTAAAAATGCTAATTTTCCACTGTAAACTACATACCTGGACTACATGACGCAGTAAAACTACATTTTCTATAATAAACTAAGCCCTGCTGAGTATAATGAATTCTGATATGTACTGGTAGCTCCACAGGTCACCTGGGGACATATATCCCCAACTAACTGAGCACTTACACATAATATACAGCTTTCCTGCTTTGGAACAAAAATACTTGTATTTTGTTTACTACTTACAGGAAAGAATGGTTGCTTTTTGTTTGGTATATTTGCCTCCACTTTAATATACGCTACCAGGAATCGATTACACACATCTGCAGAGTTCAAGCAGAACCTAGGGGCAACGTAATGCTGCTGATTTCAGTGGAATTCTTAGAGCTCTCTACCTGGACAGAGGTGTTGAATATGACACCACAACTACAGCTACACTGTGGCTGTTCAGTGGATGCCCTGGTCATCCATTGCTTCCGCTGCAGAAGTGAGCATATACATTGGCATTCTGTCTGTGCTCTCTTAACACCATAAGGAATGCCTGCAGCTTGCAGGTTAATACTGTGTGATTGATTTTGTGTGTACGTGTGAGTATCCTAAAGAACATAAAGGATTCCTACAGGACTCCCACAGTTCCATATTATGTCTGGTTCTGTTACATGCATCTAACCATACTGCAGATGTTGAGCGTCCCATCTGTGTCGCTCCTCATTGTCCCAATAAACATGGAGTGCAGGTGGCTAGAAGCTTGCATCTAATGATCATTAATATGGGACTCCCATTGGAATCTGGTGTTGCCAAATGGTTTGAAAGGAAATACGGTGTGTATCTGGCTTCCAAAGAGCTCTGATATGTGTGTTTGTGAACTAGGTAACTTACCACAAGCTAAGTGGAATTAGTAACTCTAAAGACGGGTGTCTTTATTCCACTAGTAAAATCTTCTCCTATCCCTTCTTCCCCATGATACTTAGAATCTCTGCATAATTATGTATTTCTGCAGGCAAAAAATTAAAAACAGAGGATATTATAGAATACAGAGTAATTCTTATTTGTGCTATACATTGAAAAGAGTATATCATCCTACTAATTATATTTAAGTAAATACTTTTTAACATTTCCAATTGATTGTAGGTATTTAACATTTGCGATGTTGAAGACATAACCAATTCCTCTCCCCCATTGGAATCTAATATAGCCTTTGCCAAGGCATTAAATTGAAAAGATTCATTTCATCCCAACCTAAATCCAAAATGTCATCATTTTAAAGTAACTTCTTATTTTAATAATAGCCTCCCCACCCCACACCCCCAAAAAAAACAGTGTTGGAGAGGACCTTCTACAATACCTTCCTTAGAAATCAGTTCTAAAATTACATTGTTTGGAATGTCGATGGGGCTGTGGCTCCCTCCTTTATTCACAATCAGTAGGATGGTCAGTTAGTCAAATTCAGATTACATATCTGTCTTCCCCTTGGTGCTATGTCCCTGACTGTGTCCCCTCAGTGTGTTACTAAACATGATGACGTTTCATGCAATCATACTTAATATGGTTCAGGGAAGAGGGATGTTCACATTTAGTAAAATCTGTCCTAAACTCCATGTAAAACCTGAGCAGAGAGTCCCAGTTTTTTATTTTAATAACAATAAATTTAAAACCCTAAAGCTAGACAAATTGACCATTGTATTCAAAATATAATACTAACATTTTGATCACTATCCTGATCATGTATTCTCTTAAGGGCAATGAATAGGGCAGAAATAAAATGCAGTAAGTTAACAAAATGGGTAAGTGGTTAGCCTGGAAGGGGTGCCTCATTTTTTGAGAGTGAACACTGGATATCACTCTTTGGTACATGTTTCCAGTCAAAGCCTTAAGACAATTCCACATGTACCGGTGTGTTGATGGCAGTCAAACTGCCTTCATATGACATCCCTAATTGGTTTGTGTGCCCTTGGGTCTTAGGGATGCTTTGTTCAGAGTGGGGGGCGGGGAGGGACTGGCAAATATTTCCCCTAGTTGTATCTCTCTGTCTTCAGTGCTGCTACTTTTGATAAGAAAAATGTTTTTTAAGCATGCTGGCAAGACCTTTGTAACACCTTGTTTTGCTGGACTATTAACCTTGAGTGTCGAAACACCTAGCTGTCTTTGGGAGCTTTCACAGGATTATCACCTCTTCCTTTGTCTCTGTAAGCCACAGTTCTGGGATTGCTCTCTGTTTGGTAATGTACCTCCCTAATGACTCCCAACTGTCAGTGTGTAATAATGACAACGTTGACCTGACCAAGCACAGGACTCTGCATCAGGGATGCCTGCTCTGGATCAAATTTCAGCCCAAATTCTCATTGTTTAGCCCTCGGACCACTTCACTGGACTCTTAGTGCATTGCATGGTTACCACTGACTCCAGGCAATAGTCCTCGCTGTCTTCAGAGACTGCCGTGATTCTGGGTGTATCTAAGATGTTCTCAATTTCCATCTTCAGTTCAATACTTTGGCATTCCAGGACCTGGAGTATATTCCTCAAAGACATGCCCTCCAAGTATTTGTAGTGAGACTGTATCCGGAACCTCCTCGCACTACCTAAGGAAGACTTGTCTACACGAAAAACTTTAAAGATTCTCCCTGTGTGTCCGTGGAGCATGTTAGGCCTGATATCTCTATGGTGAAAGTCATCTGAGATTGGCTCATCAGAAATAATCTAGCTGTAGACACATTTCTTACATGACCCAAGATCATTTCTTCATATCCACAGTGTTAATTCCATTGATAACTGCTTGCTCCTTGGGTGTGAGACAGTCCTAGCTCTAGGTGGGCCTCACAATAAGATTCCAGGCCATGATTGCCTCTGCTGTGAAACCACAAGAAGAGCCATCAGTTCTCAGCAAGCACCACCTCTGCCAACAGAAATATCCAATTTGTGCTTGAGAAAATCATCAGTGTGCTTCCTAGGGAGTAGCATGAGCACTTACAAAATCTGAATCTCTGAGGTGTGATTAACTCATTCACCCCATATCCTTCCTGCACCTAATGGCAAATCCTGCTCAAGTCTCATATCCGATACAACAGCATGGTGCCGTCCTAGTGGGGGACCAGCGTCACACCAGACCTTTAGATAACGGTATTTGTGGACAGTGTCTATGACAGAACAGAAACACGAAGAACTGGTGAAGGATTTTTTTTTCCCAGGAGCAAAAACAGACTGGCCCTCCCAAGGACAGTATTTCAGCAAACAAAAAGAGATGTTGACAGAAGCAAGTAAAGGACAGGCCTTCTTCCCCAACCTTACTGTATAGCCAAGACCAAAGAACATCCCGTACTTGAGATTTCAGTCTCTTGCTGAAGAGAACCTCGGAATCCATCAGTTTTCTAAGATCATCAACTATCAGTTCTTATTCTGAGGGCTCTCAGATGCTTGGTTCCCTAAATAGCCCTTAGTGCCCAGGAAGAGAAGCAGTTCTGCGAGAAGCAGCGTGTCACCTGCCATCTGGGCCGTGGTTTCCTCCCCTTTACCCACTCCTCCCTTGTGATATGACTTTATTTCTCTCAAAACAAAGAGCATTTGACTTTCTTCCCCTGCTGGATAGATGAGGAATTATAACAGAATTTTAGTAGTGTTTTTCACCTGCTTTCAGTTTGTGAGCTACGTGCTGAAATTTATTTAACCACTGTTCCGTTTCTTCTTAGTCTCTCTAGCGACCTGGTACATGAGGGTACACTGCATTCAGGTCTCCAGTAAATACTTCTGGTGCCTTGGGATGATACTATGAACTTTATTCTCTAGAAACTTCTTTTTAACCCACTTGTTATCTGAGGTCAAGCATCTCATTCAGCAGGCTTCATCCAAGCGATACTCAGAATCCTGCACACTGTGCCACCCTTTGGTTAGCTGGTTCTTGTTTGGAGAAACGTGTTGGGGGAAGCAGCAGAGGCCCATTTATTCTGGGGAGTTCTTTGTTCGGGTCCTAACGTGACCCTTAAGGGTGTTTGTTTTGTTTTTGTCTCCAGATGAACATCAGTATACCATACTGCTCATCTTTTGGAGAAAGGGAAAAAGCTTACCTTTTCATTTTAAAGAATTATCTTCTCCATTCCTGCTTCCACCACACCTTTGGTTCCTTCTACATTTTTACACAGAAGGCGGTTGAAGGGGCATTGAGGGAATGGGAGTGCTTGCCTTCTTAAACCAGAAGCATAAACCCAAACTTAGGCGATTCAGGGTTATGGTGAATTTCCAGGGATGGGCTCTGACAAGTGAGTGAGGCATTCTAGTGGATTCAAAAGAATGTGAACCAAATACGACATCTGTAATTATCCTAAGGCAGTGAATAATGTGCTGTGACATGGGGTTCTTATCTGTGTCCTCACCTCCATTTCCACCAGCCCAAGGTTTTGTGTGTGGTCTGTGGTCTGTCAGGTTCATGATCTCTCTCGGCCCTGATTGCCAAGAACACTTGAAATCTGATTCCACTACTAATGACAGCTTCTAACTGCTCCCCAAGGCGGGCTTATCTGCCTGTCATTAATCCAGAAATACTTTACAGTTGTCCTTTCCCATTGGATCTGAGTGTTTACCCACGCTGTATACTAGATCAGATGTTACGTCATGTTAGAAGAATTATATGACCTAATAAGAAAAACTGAACAAAGAAATCTTGGTCAGTCTGTACTTTATTCTAATAAGGAAAGTGATTAGCAGCCCTCATTGAAATCCCTTGGTCTTCTATATCAGGAGTACTTTAGGGCCTTAAAATATACGATGTGGACTTGTCATTGAAGCAGAATTGGCATTTTAAAGAGTGCTGTGATTGTAGATGAGGGTGAGGTAAGGTAAAATGAGAGCTGCTGGCATCTGGATGAACGCCTACTGTGTGTAATCTTGGTAGATGACAAAAGTATAAACAAAACATGGTGCCTGCACTTGAGAGGCTTGTAGTTTAGTTGAATAACTCATTAAACATTTCCTGATATCTGCTGTGTCATAGGGAGAAAAAGCTTTCAGGAGGTCTTTTTGGTAGGAAAGTCTTGTAAGCAGATAGCTATGGAACAGTGTGATAAGTGCCATAATAGAAATATATGCAGGAGCAAGATTCATTCCAAATACTCAAGGAACATCTACCTTGTGCCAGATGTTATAAACCCACAGAGTAGGTTTACACTGGAGAGTTCAACTGTCCTTGCCTTCGTGCACTTGCAGCCTAGTGAGACAGACAGCCATTAAGCAAATATGTCAAATCGTAAATAACAAGTAAAAATAGTGAGATGCTAGGAGAGATTGTAGTCAGGAGTTAGGGACAGAAGGTAAATGTTAAACTAGCAAAATCAGGGGTTAGGAGATACTTTTGCTGAGAGCTGGAAAATGAGTAGAAGCATCAGGAAATACTGTGGTTGATAGCTAAAAGACCAGTATAGAAAGAGAAGTGAACTTTGAATAGGTCATTGGAGAAAATAGGACCCCAATTTTTTTTTTTAATATGGGCAAGATTAATACTAATTTCAGAGCAAAACAATGTGGAAATATAATTGGATGAGTGGGTGGAGCTTTAAGGCAAAAGTGACATCTAATTTACTGGCTGAGTGAGTGAATGTGCTATTTATTGAGGTGGAAAGGACTAGAGGTAGAACATTTGTTGGGAATGATCATGGTCCAGGGCACGTTTTATGGAGGAGGTAATCTTTAAAGTGGGTGAAACAAGAAGACATTTTAAATAGTAGATTGAGCTGAGCAGTAGAAATAGTACTCAAAAGAGGAGAGATCAGCAGTTACTAGGGAAATTAGAGAATATTTTTTAGAAACCACAGGACATGAACTTGCTTGTGAGGATTGGGTAATAGTTGCATTAATGCAAGAAAAGTATCCCAAGAGGAAAAACCATGTGAACAGAAACAGTGAAACAAACATGTCGCGTGAGCTAAGTCATAAAAACAGCCTAAGTAGAACTGAGGTAGAATCAAGAAGTGGGAGAAAGATAATGGTTGGGGAAGGATCAGACTTGTTAAATACAGGTGCCCGGAAGCATGATGGCCAGGTTGTGATTGGTAATAGGTGGGAATTAGTGTGGCTAATCTGGTATTTATGTGTTGAGTTCTTTGAAATCTGGAAAGACTGGCTTTTGGTTTTTTTGGAAACTTGGTGACAACACAGAAATAAGGGTTTGAGTTGAACTTATATATCCATAAGAAAAATGAACAGGATTCAAGTGACTTAATGGGGACAGGGAAGGAAAAACCAAAAGTTAATTTTTTTTTTTAACTTAAACCTTGGTAACTGGGAAGATGATTAGCAGAAGTGAAAAAAAGTCCAGAATAAGACTGAGTGAATTATATATAAAAAGTTTAATTTGAAAAATGTTGGGAGGGGCCTCCCTGATGGCACAAGGGATTAAATAACATGTCAGCACTAAGAAGCTATCAACGGCCACTACAGCACAAATTTGATCCCCGGCCAGGGAGGTGACCCACATGGTGCAGCAGACCTCTCCTGACTTGCCCACTGCTCCCCTCAGCAGTGTATTTCAGTCTGCCTGTTCTGTTCCCCACTCTGCCTCTGGTGAATCTTCTCACATACACCCCAAACCTCTGGACCCCTCACCTCCCCTCCCCTGCACCCCAGCTCTGTATGCATAAATAAATAAATATTTTTAAAAAAAAAAAATGTTGGGAATGGATTTTTAATGGGTGGAATCTCTCATGAAGCAAAGTCTTTATTTGCTGACCAGATGGGTGACTCTTCTTAAAATTTTTAGTCATGTTCTCACTGTTTGACTGCTATATTTTAGTGAAAAACACTTGGAGGGTGGGGGCTTCCTCCAATAAAGAGCTGAAAGGTTGGCTACCTTCAATTTCTCTGTCTCAGCATTTTCTTGCTCCCTCCCGCAGAGATCCGTATGGCTTTGGAGATGGACGAGATACAAGACGTGATCGATCCCCCATTCGAGGAAGCCCAAGAAGAGAGCCCAGGGATGGCAGAAACGGCCGGGATAGCAGAGACATGCGAGACCCCCGAGACCTGCGGGACCACAGAGATAGCAGAGACATTCGGGATCACAGAGACAGCAGGAGTATGCGCGATGCTCGGGACATGAGGGATCTCAGAGACTTTCGTGATCTAAGAGACTCTAGGGATTTTCGAGATCACCGGGAACCCATGTATGACAGATACAGAGATATGAGGGACTCCCGAGATCCCATGTACAGGTGCAGTAAACAGCTCCTCTGCTTTCTTGCTCTAACAGTTTTTCTTAAGTGTGTGCTGCTGAATTAATTGAATGCTCTGTAAGGTCAGGACTGTTCAGCCTTCTATTTTCAGTGTCAAATGGTAGGTGATGTGCTGCTCAATAAATATTTGCTGAACGTGTGAATGATTGATGAACTATACTTAGTGAATCTGGATATCTGTGGCCTATGAAACTTCATGCAAATGGCAAAATAGACAGAGTACAGATTGTTTGGGTAGTACAAAAGCACAGGGAGCATGTGTAAATGGCCAGTGAATACATGCAAAGATGCTCAACATCACTAGTCATTGGGAAAATGCAGTCAAAGCCACAGTGAGATACCAGGTCATACCTGCGAAGATAGCTATAATAGTTTATTTTTTTAAAAACCCAAGTGTTGGCAAGTTGTGGAGAAGTTGGGACTCACATATGTTACTGGCGGGGCTCTAAAAATGGTGTGACCACTGTGAGAAGTGGTTTGGTAGTTCCTCATAAGGCTAAACATAGAATTACTGGGACTCATCAATTCCACTCCTGAGTATATGCTCATAAGAACAGAAAAGAGGGAGTCAAACAGATACTTGTGCATAAATATGCAGAGCAGCACTATTCACAAAAGGTGGACACACCCCAAATATCCGTAGATATATGGGTATTTTTTTTTAATGTGCTATAACCACACAATAGAATGTTTCAGCCATAAAAAGGAAGCCAGTTCTGACACATGCTATAACCTGGATGAACCTTGAGAACATTCCACTGAGAGAAGTAAGCCAAACGTTGTAATGCTTCCACCTACTTGAAGTATCTAAAAAAGACAAATTCATACAGACTTAAAGTTACTAGAAGTTACAGGAATGGGGCATGAAGAGATTTTGCCTAATGGGTACAAGAATGTTCTGTTCAGGGTGATGAAAACATATATATATATTATGACATGTATGTATAAATTATGTAAAATACATGTTGGTTTTAACCACATTTTTTTAAAGTGGAAGGGGTGGGGGCAGGTGGAGGGGCCGTGGATAGATTCCTCAAAAGTCTTACCAGTAATTACTACCAGTTATTTCACATCTGCTTTATGCCAGGGACTATGCCTGAACTTTCCGTACCCCCTCCCTGGACATCCTTGCATGACAGGTTAACCTAGGTGGAGCTGTGGAAATGATAAGCAGCAAGTCCCAAACCTGATTAACTGAATCGAAGTCCTGTGGCTTACTAATGTGACATCCTCACAGAATACTGGGACTGGGGAAATTCTCGGATTTTTGCAGAATAGCATAGTTTTAACTTTATGCAAATTTGTTTAACTTTTTTTTTTTTTTTTTTTTTTTTTTTTCCGGGAAGAGGAAAACTTTATTAAATTTGTTTAACTTTTCAGGAGAGAAGGCTCATATGACCGATACCTACGAATGGATGATTATTGCAGGAGAAAGGATGACTCTTACTTTGATCGTTACAGAGATAGCTTTGATGGCCGAGGCCCTCCAGGCCCAGAAAGTCAGTCTCGAGCAAAAGGTAAAGTAGCAGAAATGGTTTATCCTTATTCATGGTAGAACACTTTACAAAAGAAAGAGGAAATTAATGATCAACGGAAAAGGTATTAAACAATTCACAAAATGAAGAAATACAAATATTAATGTGTAGAGAATATTCAGCTTAAAATTAGTTTTTAAAATACAAATTGGTATTATCATCTGGTTCAGTCATCTAGTAAGAAGAAACAAATAGGAAGTTCCAGCAGTAAGAAATGAATAAAAGATTGAAGAGTTTAGGTGCTTGCTTTTTGCCCATGACTAAACCACAGCATTCCCTATGTGACATGCGGAGTTTTTGTTTCTTCTGGTTTTTACCTAACAGCATCTCTTCTTTAGGTAAAGACAAACATTTTTTTAAATCCTGGTTTTTCTCAGTTCATCTTTTAAGATTTTAAAATCACTTTATATGTAGCCATTGAGTTAAGAATCTCATTTTTAATTTGTTGTAAAACTTTACTATCTGATTTTTTTCCAAAGTAAAGCAGATTACAAGTACCTATCAATAAGGATCTTAAATAGCTGTCCCAACATTGTAAATTAGAATAATAATGAAATACCAACTTCTGCCAGTGAAGTTGGTGGGAATTTTTTTAAACGGTAGTACCTAATGCTACCTAAGATGTAGAGAAATAGCACTAGGTAATCCACCCCTGTGGAGAGATAACTAATAATAACATTTCTAGAGGGCAGTCTGGCAGTATGTATCTGGTGAAACATTAAAACACCCTTAGCATGCCCTTTAATCCAACCATTCTGTGTTGATATATTTGTAATAGTAAAAAATTATAATCCTGGTTGTTTTTAGGAGGTAGTCCAGAGAATTCAGTGTATGTGTTACGACCTTTACCTACAAGTAGTTCAGTTAGAAGTGAGGCCTGTGACTTATTTTTATAGAAAGACAGAGTCCATATTTCAGTTTTCCCTGGTGGTATCTTGCAGAGCGTTTGAAACGTGAGGAACGGCGTAGAGAAGAGCTTTATCGTCAATATTTTGAGGAAATCCAGAGACGCTTTGATGCTGAGAGGCCTGTTGATTGTTCTGTGATTGTGGTCAACAAGCAGACTAAGTAAGAACCCTTTGCTATTTCTCTTGAGTAAGGAGAAGGATCAGAAAAGAAATTCAGGCTCCCTCTTGGCATCTCTGCCCACTGAACTTGGGCTGTGTATTCTGGCATTGCCGTGCTGTGCTGGCCAGAGTTCTTTCGGTTGTAGGTGATAGAAAGCCCTTTGCAAACTGGATTAGCCTCTGGAGGGGAATTCTTAGCTTATTGACTAGGACGTTCAGGCATGCATTGTCAGACAGGCTTTCTGTTTGAAAAGGCAGAATGGCATTGGTCATAGACATGTATCTTCTTAACAAACCCAGTGGGACGAGACCTTCACTTTCCCAGCGCGTCTACCTAAAGTCTTGGAATTGTTTCTCGTAAGACTGGCCTGGCTCACTTTCCCATCCCTGAACCAGTTACCATAGCTATAGTGCTGGGATTGTCTGTTTGGCCAGAGCTAGGTCATGTGCCCATCCCTGAAGTTAAAGGTGGGATTGCGCGTGTAGACAGAGCCAGGTGGACTGAATGAGGGGAGAAGTGCCTTCCCAAAGGAAAATCACAGAAATTTAGGCTGGTCGGACAAAGTAATAGAAGCCACCTTCATGGGATACCCTGAATCCCCCAATCCTTTGGGAGGTATATGTGTCTACATCTGGCACTCAAGAACCAAGCCTTCTTTGTGACATGCCATGGCCAGCAGGACTGTTAGGTGGCCATGCTAGTGAAGCCAGGGTTCCCAGTGCCATTTGATTGCACCTCTCTTTTACATTCTTTCCTGGAAGAGGAAAGCCAGTTGCAGGATTGACAGTACCTATGTTCCCTCTCCCCAGGTGGTCCGTAAATAACTTCATGTATTTCCTAGCAGTTTGGGGTCAAAGAGCTAATTTCAAGGCAGAGACTGGGGAAATTCGTGTTGAGAAACCAAGCAGCAGGCAGAGTTCACAGACTCTGGGTTACCTTGAGAGATTGGTGATGTTTTAACTGCAGGCTCAGGCTTTTGTTTTTGTGGGGTGTTTGTTTTTTGTTTTTTTTGTTTTTTTTTTTTTTGACACATGTTAATAGCCATCATTATCTGAGCACTTCCTTTGTACTACCCCATGCTGAGGGTTTTACTTAAATTGTTTTTGATCTTCACAATAATCATGTTACATATGTATTCGTCCAGCAAATTTTTATATGTATGGCATATGCTGGGAAGTGGGGCAGTAATGCTAAGCAAATGCATGGCCCCTCCACACCCTAGTTGGTAGATGACCAAAATAAATGTATTGGTGATAAGTCCTATGAGAAGAACTATGTCAAGACTCTTAATTTAGATCGAAGAAAAGGTCAAGGAAATGACATACAAACTGAGCCATATTATTCCTGTTTTATTGGTAAAGAAACTGAGGTTTATAAGAGGTAAAAGGACTTACTTAAAGCTTCACAACTTTGCAAGTAAATGTAAGAAGCAGGCTGCAAACCCGTCTTTCAGCATTGAAGCCCATCCTTTCCCAATTATGTTATGTACCCTTCCCCCACCACCACCACACACACACAGATAATGTGCCACCAGTTCTTAGGCAATCAAAAGAAGGACCCACGTCCTAAATACTGTGCTACTGGTGACTTTGTGACCTACCTGAGCCTGTGTAAAGAGGAGTTAGTCTAGATCCTTGGAGCCTGAAGAGGGCACGAGAAATTTGAACTTGGGCAGAAAGATTTGAAAATGCCATAGGAGCATGATAGCGTACAGGCTAGGTATCGGTCAAAGGGTCTCACCTGGATGCTGTTTATTTCTACAGAGATTATGCTGAATCTGTGGGGCGGAAGGTGCGAGACCTAGGCATGGTAGTGGACTTGATCTTCCTCAACACAGAAGTGTCATTGTCACAAGCCTTGGAAGATGTTAGCAGAGGAGGGTCTCCTTTTGCTATCGTCATCACCCAGCAACACCAGATTCACCGCTCCTGTACAGTCAACATCATGTTTGGGACCCCACAAGGTACAGAGGCCCACGTGGTTCAGAATTGCAGAGGTGGTCCCTAGTCCATTAACTCTTTTATGCCTTCCTCAGCTGAAACATGGTAGGGCCCATTATCTTTAACTGTGACTATGCTGTTTCCAGAAAAACAGCAAACAGCCTAGTTTCTCTAGTGGGATACTTTTTTATTTTTTTTATTTTTTTTAATTTTTTTTAAAGATTTACTTATTTATACAAGCACTGGGTACAGTCAGAAGCGCGGGAGGGTGAGAGAATTCACCAGAGCCAGAGCGGGGAGCAGAACAGGCAGATGGACGAAGTACACTGCTGAGGGGAGCAGCGGGCGGCAGGAGAGGTCTGTGCACCTTGTGGGACCCTCCTCCGGTGGCCGGGGATCAAACCGGCGCTGCAGAGGCTGCGGGCAGCTTCGCAGCCCAGCGCTCAACTGCTGCGCCACCAGGGAGGCCCCGGGATACTTTTTTAAAAAGACATCCATCTTGGTTATTAGGGAGCCAGCAATACTACTCCACCTAACACCAGAATTCAGTATCCAAGTCTTACACAAGGAATCAAAATTCAGTACCCAAATTTTACATAGTCTTCTGTAGTTGTTTATTCATCTGATACTCTTTCATGGGATACAGTTCTGGGCCAGCTACATATTAGACATCATATTTAGCCATCAGATAAATACGATGGTATACTGGCAGATGTCTGATAACCTGTGGCCGGGCGGGGGTGGGGGATCAATACTTCCACTGTGTCTTATTTCTCACCACCACTGTGAGGCAGCTTCAGGAGGGAGGGTTGGAGAAGAGATGTATGAGTGGTCTTTGCTGGTGAGAGCTGGCTCATCAGACCTGTGGCACATACAGCACTAAATATGATAAAAGCCTTGTTTTCACCAAACTTTCTAGAGGGGGGGGGGGGAGAGAATACATCTGGCGATAGGATACTGTTTATAAGTATGCCAGAGAAGTGAGCAGAGGAGCTGTGAACAGGAGCGAGGCCCAGGGTGGTACAAGTACTGAGCAGTTGTAAATCATGTTCCCCAAAGGTAAGGGTAGAAGGTTGTATAGGGTCACAGTTTGATCTTCATCCATGACCTTTGAACTGATGAATAAAAAAAGCAGTAGGCCAGCTCTATCCTGAGGTGCACAGTGGAGAGCAGGCTTTACAGAAGAGCGCTTCAGCCCCCTGCAGCCTACCTCCTATGGTCAGTCCCCACGTGATATTTGTGAATCTGTGGGGAACTGTCATGCCTCTTTGGTTTTTACTATAAGTCTGTGATCTCGGAATTCCCCAGAGAACCAGCTGTACAAAGGTTCATGTTCCTCGCCAGAGAGATCCTGTCACCTGTTTTCCCACCCTTCCTCCTGCCCCTCCTGCCCCTCCCGAGCTTCCATCCCAAGAGTCCTTTCACTAAAATGGTTTTCTTTTTGGTTTGAGATTAGGAAAGGCTTGGTGTAAGTCCAGCAGGTGGGCACTCAGATCTGTCATGGGAGAAATAACTCGCGTCATTCCCTCCTGCAGAGCATCGCAACATGCCCCAGGCAGACGCCATGGTGCTAGTGGCCAGAAATTATGAGCGATATAAGAACGAGTGCCGGGAAAAGGAACGTGAGGAGATTGCCAGACAGGCAGCCAAAATGGCTGATGAAACCATCCTACAGGAAAGAGAACGAGGCGGCCCTGAGGAAGGGGTGCGTGGGGGGCACCCTCCAGCCATCCAGAGCCTCATCAACCTGCTGGCAGACAACAGGTACCTCACTGCTGAAGAGACTGACAAGATCATCAACTACCTGCGAGAGCGGAAGGAGCGGCTTATGAGGAGCAGCACCGACTCTCTGCCTGGTGAGCTACGTGGCAGGGCCGAGGTGAAGTTCTGACTCTGCATTTCTCTAATCCCCAGGCTCTGTGGGGAGGGTGGCAGCCCAGGGCTCCCTGGGGCGGGTACGGGAAATGAGCCTGTCCTTGGGCTCTCCCCCGGGCCATCCGCGGTGATGCAATGATAATTTAAGATTTGGGTGCTGAATTCTGGTCCCAGTAGTTAATAGGGTGGTGGGTGAACTGGTATAGCTGGCTCCCTAGTAACTAAAATGGATGTTCTTTTTTTTTTAAAGTAGTTCTCTGGGGAAACCAGGCTGTTTGCTGAAAACAGCCTATGCCATGAGGTGGCCTGGCCCCTTGGGGAAATTGATGTTCTAGTCTGTGTACTGTGTGATTGATGTGATCAGTGATTGCTGTTCTTCCCTGGGCTGCTAAGCCTCCTGCCAGTGGGGGGTACTTTGAACCAGATACCTCCTCCTTCTGTCTCCTAGGCCCGATTTCCCGCCAACCACTCGGGGCGACCTCGGGTGCCTCGCTGAAGACACAGCCAAGTTCTCAATCGCTCCCCAGCGGCCAAGTGCTCCCCTCTGCTACACCCACTCCAGCTGCACCCCCCACCTCCCAGCAAGAGCTTCAGGCCAAAATCCTCAGCCTCTTCAATAGTGGCGCGGTTACGGCCAATAGCAGCTCTACATCCCCCTCAGTTGCTGCCGGAAACACCCAGAACCAGAATTTTTCCACAGCAGCGAACAGCCAGCCTCAACAAAGATCACAGGCCTCTGGCAATCAGCCTCCAAACATTTTGGGACAGGCAGGATCTGCTCGGAACATGGGCCCCAGGCCTGGGGCTCCTTCCCAAGGGCTCTTTGGCCAGCCTTCCAGTCGCCTGGCACCTGCCAGCAATATGGCTAGCCAGAGGCCCGTGTCTTCCACAGGTATCAACTTTGACAATCCAAGTGTACAGAAGGCTCTGGACACCCTGATCCAGAGTGGCCCTGCTCTCTCCCACCTGGTTAGCCAGACCACAGCACAGGTGGGGCGGCCCCAGGCCCCCATGGGATCTTACCAGAGGCATTACTGAGGCTAAATCTCTCAACTCCTCCCAGATCCCTCATCCCCTGGCCTCCTCTCACTCACTGCGTTCTAGATAGAGTTATTTGGAGGATGTTCTTTGCGCCTGTCCAGGTCCACATCAAATGTCGTAAGTTTCTACCACCTGCTCTCCTGCCCAAGGCTGTGTTGCTTATTCGAGTCAGAGTTTATACTGCATTTGGGGGTCTTTTTTTTTTCTTTTTTATAGAAAATTATCTCTGGGGTCATTGGGCACTGTAAGTGTCTGGGCTCTGTCCGTTTTTCTTCAGTTTCTCTGTTGATCTGGGGAGAGAAGCCAGGCCCTCAGTGCTTGAGTCTGCAGTGGCATTTTCACGTCAGCACTGCCTTTGTTCATCTTGGACCCACCAAGGCGTTCCAGCCTCATGCAGCCTGGCGTTCTGCCTGAGGACGCAGGGAGCAGACAGCCGGTCACGGGCCCATTGCTCTGGGACTTCTGCTTGTGGATTCGAGAATCGGCTGCTCCCGAGCTGTTAAGGAGTGGCTGTGGCAGCCGCAACACAGGCGCTTTGCTGCCTGACCCGGGGTTCTTTTTTTTTTTTTCTTTTTTTTCTCTCTTCCCCATTTCATTGGAGGCTCTCCAGTGGAAAGAACTGCTCCAGTCACCAGCAGTTTGACCAGACCTGTGGAGCTGGGCCCAGCACTGAACCCCCCTTAACACTTCTGTCACCATCTCCCTCTCCAGTGGTAGTTTCTTGGAGTTGGTTCTCAGAAGGCAGCTCTGGACTCTGGCAGTGAACACCCGCTTCAGTGACTGTTTTGAGCATTTGGCTCAAAAATCAGGCTCTTGTTTTCACCTAGAATCTTAATTTTGTTTTCTGAGCAGCAGGAGGTAGAGACCATTTTGATGTCAGGCTTCTGGTAGCTGGACGTGTTCTCGATGCAGGCGGCTGTTCTTAACTTTTGAGCCGGAATGAAATTGCTAGAGGGAGGACTTCTGGCTGCTGCTCTAAATGGAGCCAAAGGAGGCTGCTCCCTCCCTAGGGAGGCGCCCATCAGAGCCCTGAGGGTGATGTCGTGGTCTTGGTCCGTAGGGGCCCCGCAGGGATGAGGGAGAACAGTGACTTGAGCTGCTTCCCTGTCGGTGGCTCAGCAAACAATGGTTTCCAAACTCAAGGTCCCCAGATGGCAGCGTTTTTTGTTCTGACCTGTTTGTGTTATATAGTGGGTTTTTTTCCCCCTCTTTGGAACTCTTGTGTTGTTAATAATATGAAATGATTACTTTTTAATTAAAATGAAAATGTAAAAGCTGCGTCATCTCTTTGCGGTGTGGCTGGCTGCAGGACCTCTTTGCGGGGCACCCCCCCAGGCTCGGAAGGGACGGTCCCCAGCGCAGCACTGCCTGATTTCAGTCTGCTGTGACATCTGCCCCTTCCGTCCCCGACCCGCGCTCAGGCCTCGAAGCCTCATTAACCTAGTAGCTTCTCTCGCGATGTAGCGCACCTAGTTAGGTTTAATAACAGTTCAGAGCAAAAGCCCGCGCTGGCTGATGACGGTCTTGTCAAGCATCCTAGTTGATGGGAAACTCTCCTTGGCAGCAGGCTCCTCCTCCTCCTCTGAGAAGGAAAACGGGACCCTGAGGCTGTGCCTGGCTGGCGGCCAGTGGAGTGGGGCACTTTCCCGTTCAGATTTCATCTCACTCGCCACCCTCTGTTCTGCCCGTGGTGCACAGAGTTGGCAGAACCATAGTGTCGCAGAACCTTGGAGAACACTTACTAGCCAGCTGCAGCAGGACATGTGGGGCTGAGGAAGATGTGGGGAAGTGATTGGCACGAGGCCTCCCGTGGGTCGGCGACCAAGGTGCTGGCAGCGCTGAGCCTGACCTAGTAAGAGTGTGAGGTGTGCGCTCTGCTCCACCAGCCCTGCGGCCCCCGGGGCACGGGCCCCACAGCTGTCCTACGTGCCACACCGCAGCCCTGCCGGCTCTGCTGTCCTCCCGCCAGGGCATGCCGGCCTTTCTGACTAAGTCTCCAGGGTCCTCCTGGCTGGGGCCGCCTTGGGTTCCCCTGTGTCCCCTCCAGTGTCGGAACAGCATAGCTCAAGCTGTGAAGGGTATAATAAAATTATTTTTATTGCATTTTCTGCAGACGGGAGTCTAAAAAATTAATACAGTAAAAGCTGTAAAGCATTAAATGGGAGCATTCAACAGTAAAGGAAAGAACCAACCCTCTCCTTTTCATATTGGCACAAAGAACACAAGATCAATACTGAGGCAGAATGCGGAATACTGAAACACTTACACTGGAAATTAAAGGCAGGCCTAATAATAGTAATAAATACTCTTGATTTGGTTGCAACCTCTCCTATTTACAAGGGTTTTCAACTTCATTGCATTGCCCTGCACATAGATCTTCTAAAACAAAAGCAACACTAGTTATCACTACAAGGCTATTGAAATATTGCACTCAGAATAAAAGTCACTTGAATGGACATGAAACATCTAGCTACAATGGTCGTGAAGATAATCTGATGAATGACTTGTGAGAACATCAGAACAAATATTGCACATGTAGCACAGAAAACTTGGGTGGTGGTTGTGGGATGTTTGTTTTCATCAACGGAAGCTGCTCTTGCCAACCAGCCTGGCCCAGATAGTGCAACTTTGGTTCCCTAATTGGTGTTGATGCAACCCCCTTCCCCCTCGACCCAGCACACCCCTTGAGCCCTGGAATGCTCAGACCCCCAGAAGCTAGACCCAGCTGTGGTTCTCAAGAGGAGGTCTTTGGAGGATTGGTGGGGAGGCTTTCTGATGACCGCCTGGAAGAATCCATCCAGCCCGGGACCAGGTCTCGGGCTTGGGCCCAAGCAGATGTCCAGACCTACCTCCGGCCGCGCCTGACCCAGGCTAGATGGCACCGGCTCCAGCTCTGGTTGGGGTCAAAGGAAGGGAGGGGGCGGGGTCAGGAGCTCCCAGCAGCCCCCGCGCTGGGAGGTGGCGGGATGTCTGACTAGGTGTGAAAGCCGGGGCCCTGGGGCTGGAGTACTCTACGCCCCGCCCCGGAGGGCGCTGCGCCCGGCATGCAGTGCCTGACCCCTTGGCCGAGTGCCCTGGGGAAGGGAACCCAGCCGAGGGCGCCTTCTCGAGGGGCGGAAGGCGCCTCCCACCGGGCTGGTGGAGCTGAAGCGCCGCGGACTGGACTTGGAGAAGCCGAGGACCTCGGGTCCTAGGTGGAGGACAGAGGCGCTGAGAACGAAGCACGCAGCGGCTCCAGCCCTCCCGCGGGCCCAGGCGCCCGGGAGACGCAGCTCGAGACCGCGGCGGGCGGCGAGCCCGGCGGAGACCGGAGAGGGGGCGAGGTCCCCGAGACCCGGGCCGCCGGCGGGGCGGGGGAGGACGCGTCAGGGGGGCGCGGGGGCCTGCGCGGGGGGCCCGCCCGAGCCGGAATCCGCCTCCTCCCTCAGCTGTCCGAGAGGGAGCTCCGGGGAGAGGGCGCCCTCCGGCGCCCCGATTTCAGTCTTTGGCGAGGAGCCATGGGCCAGGGGAGCGGGCAGCGGCCGGCCGGAGAGCCGCCGGCTCCCCCAGCGAAGGCACCGGGGCGGGGCTTCCTCGGTGGGGCGAGGGCCTCTCGCCTCCCCGCTCGCGGGCGCCTCCCCGGCCTGGCCCGGCGGGCGCGGCAGCCGCGAGGGGGGCGCGCGCCCGCGGGGAGGCGAGTCCGGGGCGGCCGGCGCGGGCTCCCCTCGTCCCCGGCCGGAGCGGGAGGGAGGGGTCGGGAGCCGGGGGCTCGCGGGGGATGCGGCGGCGGGAGCGCGGCGGGGCTGTCGAGGGCCGGACCCCGACGCCCGCCCGCGCCTAAAGCGCTTGGTTCTCGGACGCGGCCGTCCAGGGCGCCCCGCGGGGGGCGCGGCGGCGGCGGGAAGAGAAGTCCGTAGCGCGGCTGGTCACAGAAATATGGGGACGTTAAAAATACACGCGATGTCTCCTGTACACTATGTATAGCCCGCGCCGCCCCCGCCCGCCCGGCCGCCGGGACGGGGGTGCGCCGGGGAGCGCGCAGGAGGGCGCGGGGGGCGGGGCCGCGCGGGCGCGCCGGGGTCCCCCAGGCCCGGCTCCGCGCCTCCCCGCGCCTCCTCCCGACCTTTATTGCAGCGTCTCCCCCCGCGGGGCGAGGTCGGGCCCCAAGGGGGCGGCGCGGCCGGGGCGCGCGGGGCGCGGGGCTCCGGCGGCCGGTCCTCTCCAGTCGCCGCGGCAGGCGAGGCCTCGGGACCGGCAGGCAGCGGGGGAGGGGCCGGGCGCGGGCGCGGGGTCTCATGTAAACGGTGACAGCGGGGGGCGCGCGAGGGCTCGGGCCGCGGGCCGGGCGCGCTCGGGCCCGGGGGCAGGTCCTGGCCCTCAGGAGTAGATGGTGATGACCTCGCGGCCGCCGCCGCGCACCAGCATCACGCGGTCCAGGTGCTCGGTGAGGACCTCGAGGAACTCCATGTCTGCGCCACGTCAAGGAGCAAGACCGGCCCCCTCGGGAGGCGGCGGACCCGCGCCCCGCAGCCAGGGAACCCCGGGCCCCGCAGCCAGGGAACCCCGGGCCCGCGACCCCGTCCGTCCCCCCCCCCCCGGGGCAGCGCCGGCTCAGCTCTCCCAGCCCAGAACCGAGACCCAGGCCCCAGCCGTCCGCTCCCGCCCCCCACCCCCAAATGCGGGTGCAGGATACAATTTTCGTCACCGTTGCGGTTTCGGGGAGGCCCCGGCATGTTGAGCAAGACGAGCTTGGCGTCCTGGGATTTGTTCACGATGACCTCGTTCAACCGCACCGCCGTGTGCATGCGCCGCACGTTGGACTGGTTCCTGCGGGGGAGGAGCCGGCCTGAGCCTGCCAGAAGCCAGCGCGCCGCCCGTCTTCCTCCCAGGCCCTGGCGACCTGGCCTGCCCCACCGGCCCTTGCAGCCGGGAGCCCCAGACCTCTCCGGACTACGCCATTCCGAGACCCCAGAGGTCAGGGCTACGACTTGAGGGTTCAAGACAGAGCGAAGAGACAGGGACCCTGGCCGTCTCAGGAAAGAGAACAAAAAAAAATCTGAAGCACTTACAAGTTCTCCCACTCCCTTCAGGAAACACAAGAGAAGCAAAGAAGAAGAAAAGAGAGAGGGGTCAGAAAAAAGAGACCGGAGGACTCGAGCTGCCAGCATCCACCCTCCACCCTGCGCCCCACAGCGGGGCCTCCCAGCCCCCCGGCCTTCCCCTGCACACCGCCTCCGCCTGCCAGGCCTGGCCTCCGCCATCAGGCCCTGGCCCTGAGGCCTCAGATCCCGAGCCCAAGACAAGCTCTGGGCTTTGCCTTCCAGCTGCAGACCAGGACCCCTTCGCTACCTTTGCTCTGCCAGGAGGAGCGAAGAGCCTGTAAGCTCACCCCAGACCCCTGCCCTTAGCCCCCAGGCTCGTACGGCTTCATGCTGAAGAATTCTTTGATGCCCTCAGAGGAGACAGGACTGGGGCCCTTATTCTTCTCTGCCACCGACTTGTCCTTGGTCCAGGTGAGATGCACCTTCTCAGGGTCTGCCTCTCCCTCCCCCTCCGGCTCCTCCCCAGGAGAAGGTGAGCTGCTGGGGCACCCGGGAGCACTCTGGTCATGGATCAGCTGCACCTAAAGAAAGAAGGGACAGCAGGTGACTCCTCTGGCAGCCAAAGATTCCGCCCCACTAGCCAGGGTCACCCCACCCAGCGCACCTCCTCCTCTGGCTTCTCCTCGCTGTCCCCAGCCATCTCCTCTGGGACGTTGAGGCGGAGCCGCGTGTTGGCCGGGTTCTTTCTCCGGATTGAGCCGCGAGACTCATCCGTGATACTCTGGATCTGGGGGGTGACACAGGTTGGCACCAGCTCTACTGGGAGTCACCGCCCAGCCCTGCAAAGAGCTTCCACCAGAGCTGATGCTCTGCCAGGGGGCACACCAGACAGCTATGGCCCCTCGCTTAGCCAGTTCACTCCTCTCCAGCATCCCTGACCCCCCCACATACGGCCACCAAAGAGTTAACTCCTGCATCGAGCTTGGCACAGTGGGCTGGTGCCAGTTCACTGGTCAGCACACATGCCATTTCCTGCCATTTTTGCTGTTGCCCCTGCTAATATGCCGGTAAACACCCCTGAAGGGTCCTCCCGTCCCAGTTGAAAGGGGCACCGATCACTCATCCCCCTAAGTGCCCATCAGCCTGGGAAATATGCCATCCACACCTGGGAGACCCTTCATTCAAGGCCACCCTCCCCTGTAGAATCTGCTGCCAGTTCCCCAGGCACCTTCTCACCCGCCTCGGAGACTCTTCTGTCCCCAACCCCAGGGCACCATTACTCATTTCCCCAATGTCCCAGTCCCTGGGTTGAGTCTTTCGTTCATTACCCACACTTGGGAGACCTGACAGCCACACCCCCGGGGGGGGGGGCTTATCATCATTACCCTCCAAACCCATCAAGTGCACCCAAAGAGGTTTTTCCCCAACTCCCACCACCAGATCATCCCCAAATTTCCATCTGCTACCCACTCTCTGAGGCAGTAGCCCCTGATCCTTGTCGCCTACACTGGCAGCCCAAGCCCCTGAGAAATCACCATCCACTATGCTCCCGTGGGCTCCAGACGTCACGTACAGAGGAAAAGGTTGTCACCCAGGACAAAGGCCCTCTCCCGGGTAACTGGGAGACTTAGCAGGTGCAGCTGCAGTGTGTACCCCCACTGCTGGGAGCTCAGTGCCAGGAGGCAGCGTTGGGGGGCGTAAGGGCAATGAGTCATGCTCTCCAGTGAGCGAGGCGGTACAATGGCCAGGAATGTCAGTCCTGGGCCGTCCCAAACCTGTGCAGACCCAGCGCAGGCAGCGGCTTGTGGCTTTCAGAGCCCAGTCTGGGCAACCTCACCTCCCGCT